AAGCGCTATATCAAATGCAAGGATTATTATTATTATTTAGGTTAAACAAAACGCAAGATACTACAGATGCTGGAAATCTGAAACAAAAAACAGAAGTCGCTGGAAACACTCAACAGGTCAGGCAGCATCTGTGTAGAAAGGAAAGTGAGTCAAAGTTTTGAGTCCATGACCTTCGTCAGAACTGGGGCATGTTGGGAGGGAGAAGCTTTTAAGGGATAACAGAGAGGGAGAAGGGGGGAGGCAGGGCAAGGAAGACAAAGGAGAAAATGGGGTAGAGAACAGGGGATGATGGGTTAGAGGTGTTAATGAAGCAAAACAAAGGGAGAGAATGATTGTAACAAAATAGGCAGACCAGAGAGTGAAAAGGTGTATCTGGGGCCAAGATGATGCTCCCAGACACAGAAGAGAGGAAGGGGGAAGGTGAACTGTTATGGTCTGAAATTGCATCTCAATTAATATTGAGGCCAGAGGGCCTTGGGAAGTCCTCCCGACGTGAAAGGCACTCTATAAATACAATCTTGTGGTTGTTGTTGTTGTTGTTGTTGTTGTAAGATCCCTAGCAGATAAATGAGGTGCTGTTCCTCAAGCTTGCACTGTGGCTCATTGGAACAGCGTAGGAGACCGTGGATGGAGAGGTCAGAGTGCGAGTGGGTGGAGAGTTGCAGTAGCCAAGGCATTTAGGCTATCCAGCTCGAGTCAATTCAGACCAAATGTTCAAGTTTCCCTAATCTATTATTTATTCTATATGCACACAGACCTGCAGGGATTAATTCAGCATGACATTAAATTACTCAGAATAATGACTGCTAAAAAGTACATTTATGTTTTGCTTCAGCACATGAGCAACAACCAAACATTTTTCTTAGCTACATGCAAGAAAGCTGATACATCTTTCTAATTAGGATTCATGGTTGAGAATATATGTCACACCCTATCTTCCTCCAACCAGACTTCCTTTTTACATATCTCAAAACAAATATCTATATACAATAAGATTACAACAACAAGATTATATTTGTATAACGCCTTTCACATCAGGAGGACGTCCCAAGGCGCTGGTCAGAGTACAGCATTTCAGACCCGAGCTGGGGTTGGCGGGTAAGGGAGGGGAAGGGGGGTGGCCGATGGCCAATGGCATATAATAAATGTAAAATGTTAATTTCTGCGCATCGGAACAAACAGTAAAACTTAGTTTGATCTTTTATTCAGTGAAAATCATCTTTTCTTTCTTTAAGGAATCTTGCTGAGAAATAAATTCTGAGGAATTGTGGGATCAAATGCAAGTATTAGTATTATTATCAATGGATTTTTTAACATGGATTTGGCATTTCACATAGCAAGATAGATCTACACAAACTTTTTTTAAAAAAAGGAATTTTTAAAATTATTTTGGTGACTTTTTAAAAATGTTTTTAAAATAAAAATCTTTATACAGCATAACACTAAATCACTCAGAATAATGACTGCCAATGTACTGAGTTTCCATGAAAAACAGTTTATATTATTCTATTGGCTATAAGAAAGTCACACCCTATTTTCCTCAAACCAGACTTCCTTTTTATGTATCTCAACACATCAGCAACCAAAACGAGGTTACTTTGGTTAATGCTATGCAATGTTTGATAAGATAATTTTAAAACTAACATTTCATCTTATAAACCTACCGCAATAGAGAAACAAAGAAATGATCTATTAGCAACATTAATTTCACCATGACCCAACAATATTGCCCTATAATAACATGCCCATGCTTATTCACTCCTTTCATACTTCCCACCCTAACTTTTCAAATGAACTCACCAGTCTCTCTAGATCTACCATCTATAATATCTAGCTAATCTAAAACTCTGCCGTCCACATGCTTACCTACACCAAATTCCATACACCCATCACCCCCATCATTGCCAGACCCTACTGGATCCCCGTCTCCAAACAGATCAACTTCAACGTTGTCACTCTAACATATAAATCCCAGTACAGTAGCATTCCATATCTTTATAATCTTCTCCTCATCGTCTGCTCGTCCCCTCCTCAGCCTGTGTGAGCAAACCCAGACAAACTCAGAACTGATGCACATCCCTCGTCTCCCGCAAGCTACCATCATTGGCCAAACCTTCAGCTACCGTGCACCTGAGCACTGAAACTCGTTGCCTCTACCCGTGTGTCTTACTCCTCCTCTATCCACCTTTAAATCCCTTCTAAAATCACATCTACATTACAGCTGACCTTAAATTCACACAGCTCTTTTGGATTTAAGGCTTTCCAAAATTTACCTGAGATCTGAACATTTGGAAAGATCCTTGAAAAGGCAATGAATCTGAAGAAGAAATTTACTTCATTTTGGTCAAGATCATAAGTGAAGGAAACAAGAGACAATGCAAGTAAAGTAAATTAATGTGATTCGCCCCTGATTAAGCTTATGAGTTTATATACAAAGTTTTTTTTATAGCTCCCACACTAACAGCACAATTACACAAATGATTCTAAGTTGGTGTAGAGCAGTTTTCTCACTGTATCAACATAATATAGTAAACTCCTGATAACTCATCACTCCAAGGGAAAAGGGCTCCATGACTAGTTATCCAGTAAACAAAAGGCAAAGTACTGCAGATGCTGGAAGTCTGGTATAAACACAGAAGTCGCTAGGAACATGTAGCAGGTCAGGGAGCATCCATGGAGAGAGGAAAATTAGTTACTGTTTCAGGTCAATGATCTTTTGTCCGAACTAGTATAAAGGTAATTGACCTGAAACGTTAACTCATTTTCCTCTCTCCATGGATGCTGCCGGCTCTGCTGCGTGTTCCCAGTGACTTCTGTGTTTATACTAGTTATTATCCCGTGGCTAGTTAGGCATAGATCCTCCCAGGCCACAAGGAGGCATTGTGACTGGTGCGAGTGCTTGGTAAAGATTGGGCACAGGTACTCAGATGCATCATAGATGCCTCTGGTCTATTGGAGGTCTGTGCCAGGACCTCCCACCCTAACCTGCCATGGCATTGTCCAATAGACCTGAGGCTTCTGGGATGCATCTGAGCAAACACACCAACCACTACCAGTCACAGGATAGGGTGGGCGGCCTCTGTGATGCAAGACACCATCTTATAGGGCGAGTTATCCGAAGTAAGTACTTCCAAGAATTTCTAGAATATGACTGGCTACATCTTAAGCTGAGTGACAAGTGAAGCAAAGTCCCTTATTAATATTTTGCATGGGAAGTTGCCACGTTATTAACAGCATGATTAGTTAAGTGGTAGTGACAAGTTAAGCCAGGATCTTTTTAGGAGGTACCATATAATATTTGTACCTGATATAATGACTAATTTTATGTCTCAAAATACTTCACAGGTAATCTCTGCCAAGTGTATTGATTGTGTTGCTATAATTGGTGATTGTCTCTTGAAGAGACTTTGATCACCACCGTGAAGTGAATGACTTTTTATGTGTAGGATTGCCAGCCATCACACCTCAGAGAAATGTCTTTCACATTTGTCTATTTTCCTGGGAACTACTCCAATACTGCAGTGAATTGTCAGCCTAGAGTATGAATTGGAAGACGCTATGTGGGGCTTGAATACACAACCTTCTGAACCAGAAGTGAAAGTTCTGCAAACTGAGCTGACACCCATATTTTGATATAAATATTTGTGTTTGGATTTTTGAATCCTAGAAGCAATAAAATATTGGGAAGCAATGGGAAGAGGTAGTGTCACAACATGCAAACTCCACTCTGGCTCCAGTACTAAGCAAGTTGTGAACTAAACTGTGAAAGGTCTCTGAGAACCACTTTTAGCTTTTGATGTAAATCAAGAGCCAACAGGACAACTGGTTCTTCATTAGTATTAATTGGTAACTAATTGATTTGAGTTCTAATTGGTATTCAGAAATTGGTGAAAGGTAATCTGTATTCATGTTACACTTCACTTGAGTTCAGTACACATTTGTACTGCAAGTCCAGCAGGTAATATTGTCAAAGCAGTATCAGCAGCATAAAAACATCATAACTGTACATCATAAATCACAACCTTAAACAAGTTTTAAATATTGTTCAGGAAGTCTATTGCATTTTTATCATTTAAGCAAATACGAGTACTTTTATATTTTTAAAAATTCTTCCTAAGATATTACTAAAGATTCTCAACTCTTCTGCCTCCACACTCTGGAACTCCATCCCACGGTCCCTTCGCCTCGCTTCCTCCCTCGCATCCTTCAAGGCCGGTCTCAAGACCCTTCTCTTCGACGTGCCTTTGGTCTCCCTCCCACCTCTCTGCCTTCCCTCACCCCTACACCACCCCTCCCCAATGCTCAGGCCCCAACATCTGACTGTTCAGCGCTTTGGGGTGTCCTCTCGACGTGAAAGGCGCGCTACAAATATAGTTTTGTTGTTGTTGTTCTAGTCAAGCTCAAACCAAACTTAAGTCACGAGTACTTGAAAATAATCTTCAATTGGTAACAACCTTAAACATTTAAATGTCATGCTTTTCCCTTACCCTTCCACCCACACATGAAGTGAACAAGTCATTACAAATACACCAGAGAATGCTTATTAACATTTAAGCAAGATAATGATAAACCATCCACATTAAGAATATATGCGCCCTAGACTCTTCATAATGAAATGGGAAAAGTAAAATTTCCACCCGACTTAAATATATTCAAATATATATTCAAGATTTGAATTCTGTTGTATACTTTCATCCATGATTTTCACCATATTCAACAAGTAGGAGATCTTTCATTATTTTAGCCACCTCTTGAAATGGACTACCAAAATACCTTTACTCTTAAAACTACAACACACTAATTCTAATAAATGAAATCTCCCAGTCAACTTTATATTCTGCAAAAGAACGACGTGCCCAATGGGTTTCCAATGAGTCATGAATCTAACGTGTAAAGCTTACAAACCCTAATTGGAACAGATAGGATAGGATACACTTCGCTTAACCACGTGCAAATATTAATATGTCGAACGGGGGAGGGGGGGGGGAACGAACCAATACCTTTCTGGACGTGGATAATATCGGGGAAATTGGCCAAGTGTCCCTGGTAAAGTGCTAATAAGTCCACGATTGGGTCCAGATCCTGTTTGGGTTGTTCTGCAAAAAGTTCACCTATGCCATCGTATGCGTCGCCGGTAAAAGCAATGGCACGGTTGAGTCCCACTGAAAAGGGCTGTTGATCCATCTCAAAAGCTTGACTGAGGATGCGGAAAGAGGTACCGACTTTCTGAAACTCCTTCTTGAAGCCCCCCGCTTGCTTCCTCCCAAACTCGTTGGCGGTGTGGCTCATCTGGAAAACGCTCTCGTCCATCTTTTTCGTGAAGGTTTTGAAGCCGTCGATCTTGCTCTCCACCTCCTGCAGGTCCAGGGGGTTCGGGGGGTTGCTGAGCGTCAGGAAGAAGTTGGCGCCGACCATCTCGTCCTTCTCGGATTTCCTCTTGCCCTGTTTCCAAGCTTTCTCGTCGCTGCAGGTGAGGAAGTGCTGGAAGACGTCGCAGCGGGACAGCACCGGGTGGCTGGTCATGTGGCTCATCCACAAGATGAGACCCTTCTTCCTCTTGGAGATGAAGTCCTCCTCGAACCTGCCGGTGGCCTGCTTCTCGGGGATGTGCGGCACCGAGATGACGGGGAACTTCTCGACCAGCCGGGCGTACAGCCAGTCGAAGTGCTTGTACCTGCGGTTCACCTGGACCTGGGTGTGAGTGGGCAGCAGCTTGTAGGAGATGTAGCTCTTGATGCCTTTGAACTTGGTCTGCTTGGTGGGGTCGTCGATGGTGCAGGCGAAGGGGTACGGGTTCTCCTGCCACTCGGGGCCGTGCGGACCCATCACCACGCAGATCTTGTCGCCGTCCTTCACGAAGCCCGACGCCTCGCCCAGGATGAAAGCCTCGCCGCCCGACTTGACGAAGGTGGAGAAGCGGTTCAGGTTCCTGCCGACCGTGGACGTGCTCTTGGCCGTGGCCGAGCCCCTGGTGGCCCCGGTGCTCACTTTGTACCGGCCCGTCCCGTCGAAATCCGAGTAGCCGCCGCCGCCTCCTCCTCCTCCTCCGCCGCCGCCGCCGCGACCGGACAGCGGCTCGTCCGCCACCGTCGAGTTGTCATCCCAGTCGTCGTCCCAGTCATCGTCGTCTCCGCTGCCCGAAGCCTGTTGCAGACCCCCGCTCTCCCCCCCGCCCCCGCCCAGGCCGTGCACGGCGGCAGAGGAAGGGGAGAAAGTGGAGACGCCGGGGAGGGACGGCAGCGAGAAGCCGCTCTGCGGCCGGAGCACCACCGGCCCCGAGCCCGAGTCGTGGTCGCCGGGTACATTGGCGTAGCGGGAGCTGGTGGGGAGGGGGGGGTCCCCGGGGCCGTGCGGCGGCGGCGGGGGCGGCGGCTGCTGCTGCTGCGGCGGCGGCGGCGGCTGTTGATGTTGTTGTTCCTGCTGCCGCAGGATCTGAACGTACGAGGCCGGGAAGAGGCCCCTCTCGCCCCGGCTGTTGACCCCCTCCAGCCAGCCCTCGATGTCGTGCTCGCTGTACACGGTCAGCACCTCGTTCTCCCGCACGGACACCTCCCCCACGTTCTCGCTCTGGAAGTCGTACAGAGCCCGAGCCTGGAGCGCCATCCCTGCCCTCCCTCCCGCCCCCCGGGCCCTGCCCTCCCGGCCCCCCGCCCCGGCCCTCCCGGCCCCGGAGCCTCCCGGCCCGCAGTGGCCGCGAACTGGACCACTTGTTGTGCCGCCGCCTCCTCCTCCTCCTCCTCTCGCCCCGGTCTCGCTGTCTCTCTCCCGCTGCTGCCCCTTTCAGGTCCTCTCGGTGCTGCTCTTGTTTTTTTTTGTCTCTCTCTTCTCTCTCTCTTTCACTCACTCTCTCTCTCTCTCTCTCTCTGGCCGGACACCCCTCCCTCACTCACTCTCTCTCTCTCTCTCTGGCCGGACACCCCTCCCTCCTTCCCTCCTCGCACTCCCTCCCTCTCTCTCTCTCTGGGGGTGAGCGAGGGGTTTCGTTAACGGACTCCGCGCGCGCACCGCTCGCTCACTCACTCACTCACACAGCGGGGGCCGAGCCCCGGAGCGCGAGCCGCGCCGCCGTCTGTCACTCACTCACTCACTCACTCAGCGCGAGACACACACACACATACAGCTCTCACACCACCACCACCAACCACTGGGTCTGTGCAGGAGAGCTCCCACACCGCACACTCAAGTGAGAGTCAGTGGGGGTTGGGGGTGGGGGTGTCGCCAGGCGCAACGCAACACAACCCCCTCCCCCTTGAACCGCCAACAACTTGCTGCTCTTTGCATCAACTGCTTTCTTTGCAGCTCTCCCCCTCTCTCCTCTCTTTTGCATCTTCCTTATACTACTTCTTCTCCTCCTCCATTCCTTCCCCTCTTCTGCGACTCTCAAGCTTTTCATCGCATAGCCCACCCCCCCCTCGTTAGACACCTCACACTCCTCCTTTCCTTTGCATTTATTTCTCTCCCTCTCACATATGATTTGGTGATTGAATGAGACTCCTGTCCAAACAGGAACTTTTGCACCTGGTGTCATTGGAAATTCTTAATATCCTAACTGATCTTGGTGGGGGTTTTTTTTTGTGGGGAGGGTGGGTGGGACGAGTGAATATTTTTAGTTGCAAAAAAGAGATATTTATTAAAAAAAAACTCTTGCACCTTTGCTTTCGACCGCACCGTTGACAGGGCGTTGCTCTGTGAATGAAATCATTCCATTCCAGGTGCCCCGAGGGAACCACGCGAAGCAACTTCGTGAGAGCGGAATAATAAGTGTGGCATTTAACACCCAAGGCTAACACTTGATGTTATATAGGATATCAAAAATGCAAATGCAAGGATTATTATTAAAACGTGCTTGTGACTGGTCAGACCACGAGCAGTCAGTTCACCTTCTTGGCTATTGCAATTGATCCCAATGATTAGCGAGAATAACAATTCGACCTGAACTACTTTGCAACTCTGGATAGTTGAGAAAAAACAGCTGTAACCCCAGTAACTCACTGGCAGGAGCCAGTTTCCTTTCCATAAACAACTGAATAAATAGACTGTTTTTTGTCCTGTGCGCCAGACTCACTGATCTGATGAATAAATAATAAGGGAGACTTGATGGGGACCAGTGCGATGTGATTTATATCTCTCCGATGCGTTAACTCGACAGGAAAGAAGTCACTAGTGAATTATAATTAGCACAACAAAGTGGGATATAGGTTGTATCCCATGGCTCAATGTGTGTTATTTTTATACGATATGTGTTATTAATATACTATATGTTCGTTAAATGATTTAAGTGATACAAGTTGGATATGTTTTCATTTTAGATGGAGCCAATTTTGATTTGGAAATGTCAGAATCATTTCCTTGACAAGATTGTGAAACTTTTTTTTCTCCAGTGCTCACTGTTGACAATTGTTGTCATCTCTAAAAAATCTAAATAAATACGTGTGGTACAAATATATTCTTTACGTTTTCCTTGCTTTTCCATCAAGTATTGAATGCCTGCATCCATTTTTGAGATAACTCAGCAATGTGATAAGGCGCTATATTAAATGCAAGGATTATTCTTATTTGTCTCTCAAACTGAACTGGTGGCCTTTCAAGCATACTGTAATTCTGAAACTAGCAAACACACACATGACACACACAAGCACACATTCCTTCACTATATTCCATTCCACAACTGCCTGCCAACGGAAGATTTCTTACCACACAATGCCTAGAAGATGGGGCCTGAATGCAGTCAGAGTAACTAAAAATCCCTCAAATCTTTAAAAATGATCTTTATTAGATAAATAAAGTAGTGGGTGGATTTATAGACAAGCACAGCAGCCAATTTGTGCACAACAATGTTCCACAAACAGTTGTGAAGTGAATGACCAATATTTTATCGGGAAAACTCATTTCTCATTTTGCATGTGATCTTTAACAACCACCCAAACAGACAGACAGGACCTCAATTTAACATTTCATCCAAAGGATGGCACCTTCATCAATGCAGTGCCTCTCGAATGTCAACTTAGACTACGAGCTCAAAATGGGACCAAGTGACTTTCATTAAGTCTTTTGCTGCTTTCATTAAATGAGAAAGTAATTCCTGAAAGTTAGGTCTTTAAAGGTCCTGTGGGTTTGTCTCAGTGGTGAAAAAACAATTCTGGAATTGTTGCACCTTTCAGCCAGAAGCACTGGCACATTGCATATAAATCACATCCCAAGATTCTCATATCCTAAAAACTTGAATTTGAGTGGTGATATATATTGGATTTTACAAAACTAGGTGATATACATTGGATTTTACAATATTGTACTATTATAAGGACTCAGGAGTGGAAAAAGAAAATAGGGCTTAGCTCTGTTTAAAACAGTTTAGATGTGTTACTCTTCCTGTTTATTAAATATTTGTTTTTATTAATGTGCTTCTTGCTCATCCCTCTCTAAACACATAATTTCCTGTTATTGGAAACAATTCCAATGGTTTAAAAGCACCCAAATGAAAGGTTGTATGCAGCAATATAGCTATCTGCATTTTTTTAAATGCGATGTTCCAGTCAATCTGATTAAGTAATACATACAAGCAATTAAAGATGTGTGCACACAAGTTTCTTCAGACTAAATTGGTTTACACACCACATGCCTAGAAGCTACAACTCAGAGCTATTACTCATTGGGTGGAACATTCATTAATCCAATCAAGTATGTCTCTCACTAATTATGACTGCTATCACTGTCAGACAAACATTGGAATGAATGTCAGTCCCTTATTTTAATTTTAACATGAAAGAGTGTCAGAAAATGCTGTGGCTGTTCAAGGAGACAATAATACTGCTCCATCCTGCAGTTGATCTTGAAATAAGAAAAACAACATGGGGTATTCGACAAGGTTTAGCCACTCTCATCCCTGAATAGTCAATACAGCCTATACAATTGGTCACAGAAAGCACTGCTCTGAACTTGAATAAATTATTTGAATTACAAATACTATCACTTGAGTATCCTTCAATCATTATTCTAAAAACTTATTAAATTCTCTCATTTAATCAAAAAATGTTCAAAGATAAATGCTTGTCCATTTCTTGTTTTTGAAGTTTAATTCTAGCTCTTCAGTTCTTAGAAGAACTTATTGAAAACCAACTTCAAATTAAGGGCGTATTTAAGAATTTTCCAAATTCTGCATACTCTAAAATACTATGCAGGGTAAATGTAGACCATGGCAGAATTTCATCCCATACATATTTGGGAAGTCTGTTGTTCATAAAACATATACCAGTCACATTGAACGATGCTCTGAAGATATGAGAGCGCGATTTAAAAATTAAACAAGAGATTGTCTGGGAATGGTATGAGTATTTACTGATCACAACAAATCAACAATTAGAAGAGTTTATAATTGCTGCCTATTCTCAATTTCAAAACACTTAAATGGATTTATTAAAAAAAACACTTTCAAGATATAGACTTGAATAGATCATTTCTATTCCAGCGGAAACTCACGAATAAGGTCAGCAAATGGGCTGAGAAATTTTGACCATATCAGTGGGTTGACCTCACTAGTGAATGGAGACTTTAATAACGATCCAAAACAGCACAAACAGTATTTGTTTTATTGCCATCATGTCCATGCCATCATATGTCCTCTACATTGGCACTTCAAGAATCTATCATAACATCTTACAAACAAGAGGTTTCACATAAAAAAAAGTCTCAAAGTGTTTTTTTTCTCATGGCCTTGAAGGAGGCAACTCATACTCTATCTGATTATTTAACACTGACATTCCTCCATTACCTCTTACAATAGGATTTCCTGTTAGGATCACTTGTGGGCCTGTGATGCCTAATCCAATTTGATTTGCCATTCTAATCATGTGTTTCAAAAAGTACAACGCATAACTCTGATCTATTTACCGAGTTAGGAGCAACAGTTATATCTGCTCATCGATAACCACATGCCTGGGATGCGAGGTGACCATCTAAATGAGTTTGTTTTATTTGCCCACAAAATATGCAGTCAATTCACAATTTTTTGAAATGCTTTGAGACGTCTCAAAGAAGTGATAAGGCGCTATATCAACTGCAAGGATTATTATTATTATTAATGTTGAATTGAAAAACACACCAAACAACTGACCATATTAGCGAGTTCTCCACATTAGTTGGGTGACTTTAAGATGAGTTGCCACTGTAATTTGCAACAATGTGATAATAGGGTATTTAGTTCATCACTTCAATTTGATAGCTAAGAATTGTAGATGAAGCAGTTCAATCTACATGCACGCATGCAGAAAATGTGTAACATGAGTATGAGGTTGAATTAGATAACAATGATACATTATAGTCAATGTGGTGAACAAAAAGCAAATAGAATATTTCTTTATGCAGTTAGAGCAATCTACAGAAATTAAAATGTGTTGATCAAACCACATCTGCAATTCTGTTGCCTGTTTATAAGCTACCAGAATGAAATGTTCTTCCCATCGTTGAGAAACTTGCACATTAGTTTGATAGTTGTTTGAATCAACTGTATAGCAGAATGATCAATGATTGATGCAGACCTTCCACTAAGCCTTCGGAAGTTAATGAAGCAATGGGAGTGAGTGGGGATCAGACTCCAGGGGGATGAGA